GAATTCTAATTTGGATTGGTTTTTTGGATTTTTGGATCTTTGGTTTGGTTTGGTTTTGGGTTTATAATTTACTTTGTTTGTTTTTTTGGTTTGGTTTCGAATTTAGAAAAATGAAAATCGGAAAACCGAAAAAACCGAATATATATATATGTTTAGAATTAAGTTGGAGTTAACCACTTTTGTCCCTTTTTAGTTATTTTCATCATGATTTAGTTTATTTTTTATGTTTTGGACATCTATAATTGATATACTTTTAACTATTGTGTTTTACGTTTTACGTGTGATTTATATTAAAAAGTATATTTAAGAAATTCATATATATATAATTTGTCAAATTGCAAATATAACTTTGTTATGTTTCTAATTATTGACATAACCGATTAACCGAACCGAAAACCCAAACCAAAAAGAGAAAAACCAAATCAAACCAAATTTATTTTGGTTCGGATTGGGTTACACTTCTTCAAAACCAAAACCGAAAAACCCAAACCGAATAGTATAAAACCAAACCGAAAAATCGAATGCACACCCTATACATAACTAACAATGCATCCAAATTTATAAACACAATGTGCACATGTAGATCAGAAACATACGAAAATAGTAAGATACACATTATAAGTACATAGCAAATACATATGATAATATTAAGATATATGATAGAACACCAGATACATATGACAAGACTCAGATACATGACAGAACAAATTGTGTCAGATACATGCGTAAATCTCCAATATCTTTATTAAATACATACACATTTAATCAGATACACTTATAAAAACTAGATACATTATATTGTAGCATCCTCTTTGCAATAAAATATATAAATGATAATTTAGAGCTATTGCATTATTTGCATTGATACTGGTTGTTTGTGGCAGTTGACTACTCGTTAATAAGTGGGAGGTGGGGGGTGAGACAGGGTTGGAGATTGGGGAGATGATGAGAGAGAAATATATTTGATTGTTGTTCAAACGTTAATTGTGAAGTTTAAATGTAAAGATAATTAATCGATCATAATTTTAAGAAATATGAGTATCAGATTGTATCTTCAATAATATATGATATAAAATATTAAAAGTGGCAATATATGTAATTGTTTAAAAGTAGAGATAATATTAGTATATATGGTAGTGATGTATGTCTAATAAAGTAGTTTATCCAGGTACTGGTCGGGTGTACTGGTCGCGTGTGTACGTATTTGGTGTATGTATTGGTGGGGTTTGCTGATGGGGTCTGTAAGAATTGGGGTGCTGTGAGTGGTATGTAATGTTGTATAAGTTGCAATGTAAGAATTGTATTGATGGGTTGGTGTTGTTATGTGATGTGAAAATTAGGATTGGGAGAGGAGAAATGGGCTGAAACGAAAGGGCTAGAGGATTTAAAAAAAAATAGCCAAATTTCTTTTAGATTGTGGTCAAAATAGACTTAGATATATTGCCAAATCAAATTAAATAGTGAATTCGGCTAAAATTTAAATAAGACGAATTAATATTAATTAATTAACGAACTTCTTAATCTTAACAAAATAAAATCATTAACTTAATTATAAACGAGAAATAATCTATAGTCACAAAGATGTACGTCATCCCTCCTCTGTTTTAAATCTTTACAGGTCCACATAAGTCCATGTGAAGTAATTCAAGAGGCCTGGTGGTACTTACTTGCTTTTTTTGTTTGGAAAACAACCTGGTTTATTTGCTTTTGACACATGCATCACAAGCTTTGTCATCTGCAAATTTAATCTTTTGAATCCTTCGGATCAGTCCTTTGAGACCAGTTTGTTAAAAAGTGAGGTGCTAACATGTCTAAGTCAGTGGCGAAGTTAGGAATATCGTCAAGGGTGTTCAAAATTTAAGGAGTGAACAATTTTTTTTAGCTGAGTGGGTGCATAATTTTCTTAGTTGAATATACTCCTCTAGTCCATATTAATTAAATGAATTATTGAAATTCTTTTCACAGTTCAAAATAAATGAATTATTCAAAGTTTAAGAAAATTATTGCATTGGAACTTTTTTATGTTTACCGTACTTTTGATGAGATCTTAATATTTTAAGAATTTAAAAAGAATAATAATAAAAAATAGCTTTTAATTTTTATACTTAAAGAATGTGTCATATTCCAATAATTTACTTATCTATACAGACTAGAGGAAATATAAAGAAGCAATACATTTTCTCAAAGAATTTAATAGGTATAAAATTGGGTGAAGAGGTGTGAATCCTTTATTACATTAATAATAAATGATAAATTTATTGAATGAAAACAATAGAAAGATATGGGGCGCTGTTTAAGAAAATTGACCTAAAAGATTGTTATAAAAAATAAAACGGAAAAGGGCCTCAAAATGCCCCTCAACTATTTGAATTGGTACAAAACTACCCATCATCTATCTTTCGGTCACCAAAAACTCTTGACGTCAATCTTTTGGCTAAAAAATACGCTTGATATTAATATACAAAAAAGTGATATTTATAGTCCATCTATATCATGTAATCGAAATAGTCTTTAACGTATGAAAAACGTGATTGTTTAGTAATAAACCTTGAAAGTAATTGTGCAAGTGAAAAAAAACTTGATAATTTCAATTAGTAACTCACGTGAGTTGGATACAAACATTAATGAGAACTCAACCAATAGTCAATATATTGTTTTGCCTTTGAAACTATAACTCAAATGTAAGTCTTGCTGCAAGAACAAAACTATGTGTTATAAGAAATGCGATAAACATGTACACTTCATTGTTCCAGGCGCACATGGTGGTAGTAGGAGGAGAATAGTCGCTTTTTCCGTACATCAAAGATTTCGATTACATGAGATTTGAGAATACAAAAATAAATCCGATTAAGGGTGAAATGAATAAAATTGAATGTAATACAACTTTTTATATATCTTTTTCTTTTTTTATAAAATTGACCGTGAAAACACTTTAAAAGAGGTATGTTTTAATTGAAATTGTATCTATAATATTGGTGTAGATATGTTTTAAGTAGATTGATCAAATAAAATTAATATATTTTCAAAATACTAAGTTTTACAGTATTTCAGAAACAAATTATTTTAAAAAATAAATAGTGTTTTGTTTTCTTTTTATCTCACTTTTTTTAATCTAATCAATTTATGCAGCGTATTTTGCATTCTAAAATTCTAAAGTATATGATTTTGATGAGTATTTTAATATATTTAATTTTTTAAATATAATTTTTAATATTTTTCATGTATCATTTTGAAATATTTGATTTTTGTTTTTTAAAAACTATGTTAATCTAATGTTACTTATTTTTAAAAATTAATCAAATTAACTAGGCCAAAGTTTAATTAAAAGTGTATACAGAATACTCCAATCCAAGCACTTTGAATGGTTCGTGGACAACGTACACGCCGGTAATAGCTTACACGCAAAGAGAGTTTGCACCTTTCTCTCTCTTATTTTAATTTTCATGACCCTTAGCTTTAGACCTTCGAATAAAAGTATCATTTCTACCGATAAAGGATGTGATGTATTGGATGATTTAAACGGTGTTTTATACGATTGTTTTATGATATATTGTATTAAATTGGGTTGTATTATATCATATTGTATTGTTTTAATAAATATAATATTTGGATAAATTATATTATTCTCCGTCGTTATATAATATCATATATTTATAATTTGAATAATAAACTTACGAAAAAGCAGGGTACCAGGCAGAGCTACTATGAAAAAGTAGGCTAAAAGATAAAATATGATTATTAAATAATAAATAAAATAAAATGAGAAGAAAATAATAAGGCAACGACGCGATCACACCAAATCGGTTGTTACCCAGAGGCGGACCCACATTTATGAGTGGGAATGTGCACCCGTTAATTTAAAAAAAAAATCATGTGTATATATGTATAACTATCTTGAGAAATTGACAGAAACTATGATATAATTAACGGTGTACTCATGAAGAGCACTAAGTGTTCTTGTGCCGCTGGTTCAAGGCAAAGGATCAGAATTTGTATTTAAACTAATAATACAATATAATACGATAGGTAACAACCATCCAAACAAGATGTAATGTGGATATTAAACATGGATGTATTCTAAGATATATACGTATTTTCATTTATTTTTTCTTGTCAACGCCTCTGTATATATACAGAAGTTGGGTATCTTCTACAACTGTTCCTTTTTATCTTCAATCTTCTTTCACTGGACGCCTCTCATAATTATCATACAATTTTTTTGAATTTTTTTTTCCGATTAATTATAGATTTGAAGAAAAATCAACAATCAATCTCGTAAGGACAAACGCTAGGCCAACTCCAATTTCATCTTGGATTGTAATTTCGTGCCCCCTTTAATTATTTGTATTTTGGGGAATTTTTTTTTCTTGACCTAACTTGATCATACATAATTTGCCCTTTTGATTATATGCAGATCTATATGTATCTAACTACTTTGTAATGATCGTGAATCTATAAAGTCACAATCTTTTTTATCTAATGATATTCTTTAATTGTAAATATTTGGAATTTATTAAATTATTCTTAGCAATTAACAGTAATATTATCTGCTGGGGTTGGGGTTTGGATTTTCTATTGGGCTTAAAAAAATTTCAATATCATCTTTTGTTTGCAAAATTAATGGATCAATGTAAAATATGCTTTACTTGATTTGCTACAGAATTTGATCTTTGAGGGAATTATTAACATGGTATGTTTTATTTTTCATTTTGGGGGTTTTAGATGTTGGTGGTTTATGGTTGAAAATGCGTTCATATTTCGGTGTACTTGCTGTTTGTCAGTAATCTGATGAAATCAAATTAAATGTTATCTTGCATCTGTGCATAATGTTTGTTCTGGGCTATAGTTTTCATAAATCCCGGTGAAAATGATCCCTATTATAACTATCTAATTCACTAAGTTACCGTCATTTTTCATAAAATCTACTTCTCAATCATCGTTAATGTGAGTCCTGCCAAACGTTTTCTTTCCTGCTTTGTATTTTACAAGAACATCATACACATTACCATCATATTTTCATACTTCACTGCAGGTTTTAGGACTCCTGGCTGATTGTGGCTAAGATATAGACTAGTACTGCATTGTATTCAACACTTATGCTCAAGATTTCTAGGACTGTCACCAATGAAAATTAATACTGCCCGTGAAGGTTTATCATTAATTGCACTGTAGAGTGGCACAAGGATCCTGTAGTATTTCATTCAGTAGTACTTACAACGTTGCAAGAATCAGAAGAACCACTAGAAGAGACTTGGTATATTTCTTGGTGAGTATGCTTACCGGAAATCGTAGATATGGTTTTTTGGTTTATTGTCTCCAGAAGCGTCATGATAAATTTTTTATTCTTACCTGTCTTGCTTATGGATGTGAATTTGGAGATATCAATCTCTGGTTCATGTATCCCTTCATTTGAGAGCACACATTGATGCATTCTTCTATTTGTTGGGATCTGGTCCCAATGTAAACTTGTAAATTTTCTGACTATTACTGTTTGATGTTAGTGGTTTGTGGGAAGGCATGATAACTTAATCATGTACGAAGCCAAAATGCAATCTATTTCCTCAACAAGAAAAGAAAATAATGAGATGGCAAAAAACTATGTTGCTCGGACAGTCCGAATATGCTGCCATACCCGTGTCGGACCCTCCAGAAATGCACTCTGTTGGAGGATCCGACACACTCACGTTGGCGTTTTCAAAGAGTCCGTGCAACACAGAAAAAATAAGTTTGGTAGATTTGGAAGAGAAATAGAATGAGTACTTCTGATAAGATGGACAATTATGCACTACATTTATCTTTTGGCATGCATGAGATAGTTTTTCATGTTTGCTAGGGTCCTGTAGACACCGTAGAATGAAGTAGCTTTTCTTTTAAACCTTAAAATACACACTGGTACAACACTTGAGTTATATGGATTGATGGATGATCCTATACTCTAACTCAGTTGAAATACTGTGGATGTACTATCTTTGTTTCTGTTGCAGGTTCAAAGATTTTAAGGAATTGGTAATGTTTATCATATCATGACTTCCTTTTCTTACCTTCAGTTTAGACAATAGTAGTGCCAAAGATGCTAAATTCTCATCTGAAAGAACAGTGTGGGAAAAGAGACTTTGAAATATCGGTGCATGTAGAACTTGTTGGAAACTACAAATCTGTTAGACACATGGTACTAGCACTACAGATCATGTATATTCCCGAACTTGGTTTTGTTATCTAGATGTAGTTGTTAGAAGCAATAGCCAAGTTAATGAGTGCTTATAGGTCTAAATGTATCAGAGGAGACATAACGGATGTGTGGTATGATGGAAAATGTTTTCCTAGAAAATATTTTCTTGGAAAACAAGTGGATTTCTTACTTATTTTCTAGTAAGCAAAAAAATATTATCTCAAGAGCATTTATATGTACTCTAGAAACCACTATGAGGGTGGGACGGTGTGGGGAGTGGGTGTTTGGGGGTGGCGGAGGGTGGGATGGTCAAAGGGTGGGAGTTGGAGGTGTTGAGTGGGTGGGCCGGGTGGGGAGAAGACAATTAACTTGGAATGCCACTTATGCAACTTGTTTTCCCTTTTTCCTCATTTTTAAGGTACTTATTTTCCTAGAGAAAATATTTTCAAACATTTTGACCGACCAGAATGAGAAAATTGAAAAATGTTTTCCTCCATAGCAAACACACTCGAAAGAGCCTCCTTGTTGTTGGATAGTTAGTTTAGGATCATGAATCTTCCCTATGTTCTTAACATGTATCAACATTCATGTGCCCTGCTATTTCTTTTCTCTTTTGATGTGTGTTGTGATGGCGAGTGTGTAATGTTATATATATTGCCCGGTTTGTTGGTATGGAAGAGAATGTTTGTGAATTGACGGGTTGTGGTATATTTGACATTACATGGCTTAATCAACTGAGCTTCTCCTCATAGTTCAGGATGCTTTTCTCTCAGCCTCAAACTCATATAAAGATTCTTTCTTTAGGGCCTCCTTTCACCTTTTCTTAGCTATGGTTAAACAAATTACATCAGTGTTTTTTGTTTCTTCTGGCGATGTTATCCACTTCAGCAAAGGCACCTAGTTGAAGTATAATAGCATGGAGGGTGCAAGGGTGGAGGTCAACTCAGAAAAGGAGAATATAAAAGAAGCTACACCTAGCAGCCCTTTACTAGTAAGGGAAGTGTGTAAGAACCTTAGATAGTGCAAGTCAATCCTCCCAGCACCCTGGAATAATTATATCGTAAATGTAGAGCAGGAAGGCTGCAGCTCTATCATATTGGATGTTTGCTTCTTATCGAAGAAGATTGCTTGTGATCGATAGGTTCATTAGTTTGTACAATCTTGTCAATGATATAATTTTATAACTTGAGGAGTCGTGGTATTTAAACAGTTTGTTTGCTGTTTGTCATACTACAAAATGTGCTGTTTCCATATTGCTAGCTGTTGCATTGATCTGAATCATCTGATGGTTCCATTGTTTTTTAGTAACACTTTATAGTGTACGTAGATGGCTAGTAGGAAACGAAGCATGTCAAATGATGTAGATATGCATGTCCTGTACAAGGAATTGGATGGAGCTTCATGCCCTATATGCATGGATCATCCACACAATGCTGTTCTTCTCCTTTGTAGCTCTCATGATAAGGGATGCCGGTCATACATATGTGATACAAGTTATAAGCATTCAAATTGTCTGGATCGTTTCAAAAAACTCAAAGCCGAAAATAGGGACAATCCTCCCATTATGACACAGGGGAACCTGGATATTGCTGTTGAGACACCCGCTGAACACTTGGAGCTGAAAAATTTAAGTGATCGTACTGTTGTTCACGGATATCACGATATACCTGCCAATGAAGTTGTAGCAACTGGTGCATTTCCTGGAGGATCAGAAGAAAATGGAAATAGTAACAGAGATAATCGCATGGAGATGCAGGAAGGTGGTCTACAGACTTCAGATGCTGTTACTGTATGGGGAAGTAGTCATGAAACAGCGAATGCAGACAACTCATCTGACTCAATATTGAAATTGAAGTGTCCTATGTGCCGTGGAGACGTTTTAGGTTGGAAGGTAGTGGAAGAAGCCAGAAAGTATCTAAATTTGAAGCATAGAAGTTGCTCTCGTGAATCATGTTCATTCCTCGGTAACTACAGAGAATTGCGCCGGCATGCTAGGAGAGATCACCCTACAGCACGCCCTGCTGATATTGATCCTTCAAGACAGCGAGCTTGGAGACGGCTTGAGAATCAGAGAGAGTACGATGACATTGTCAGTGCTGTTCGCTCTGCCATGCCTGGTGCAGTTGTGTTTGGAGATTATGTGATTGAGAATGGCGACAGGCTATCTGGCGAAAGGGAACGTGGCTCAGGCGCAAACGGAAGATGGTTGAGTACCTTTTTCTTGTTTCAGATGATTGGCTCAATGGATCCAATATCTGAAGCAAGAGGTGGCAGGTCAAGAGCTTTGTCAAGGCACCGTCGATCCACTGGACCTCTATCTAGGCGCCGGTATCCTTGGGGTGAAAACCTACTTGGTCTACAAGACCACGACAATAATGAAGATGAGGGTGAACCTGATCTTAACATATTGAGTGGTGATATGTCTAATAATCCAAGAAGGCGCAGGCGGTTGATGCGGTCTAGGTCAGATGAAGATCAGCAGTAAGACCCTTAATTCATGGGATTGTATTAATGGTCTGTACAGGAGGGGACTGTTTACACTAAGATCAATTGGAAGTTTCTTGTGTTCCACTTTGCTACAGAAAGATAAGAGTGCAATTCTTAACAAAATTTAGAAACTTGTGTGTTAGATATAATAATTTAAAGGGTGAAAACAGGTTGTCCCTGTGATTGTGGGTGGTAGCTTCAGAATGTAAAATTTCCATTTGGTCTTTGATTTCCTAACTCTGAAACATTGTTCATCTTATATTGTATTTTCATCAGTGTATTTCTTTATGCTTTGATTATCTTTGCCAAAAAAGAGAAGATAAAGGAAGTAGTTAGTGAAATTGCATCTAGTCAAGCATCCAATATTCCAATCTTTATACTTGACAATTCTTTCCTTTAACAATCGGATATTCAATAATAATGTTCATATAGATGCTAAGTAAAGCACCATTTAAGGTGATGCATGACAATATATTTTGTTTCAAAATATTACTTATTTTAGAAAAAATAATAATTACTTATTACGTTTTTTTACCTACCTTTATTGTTTCAATTAATATATTGTTAATTAAGTGAACCAATTAAAAGGATATAGGGACTATAAGATAGAGTAGTAAATATTTATGATTGAAGTTATTAAATGTATTTTTCTCGTGACAACATCTTTTATTTTCATTAAAAGGACTATTTATTTAAAATAATTAAGAGAAAAATTCACAAACCACGACACTTTGGGGTTTAATAACTAAACTTAGCTATACTTTTCATGATATCTACTAAACCGTGCGACACTTGCTCACCTCCCTCTCTTGCTCGTCTTTCTCCTTTCTCGCTCTCCTCTTTGCTTCTCTTGTTCCTCTCCCTTTGTGTTTTTGTGTATCACTCCTTCTCTTGACTCTTGTTCCTCTCCCTTTGTGTATCTCTCCTTCTCTAATCATTCTTCTCTGTGTATCATGCCTTCTCTCGTCCCTCTCTCTCTTTGTACAACTATGTATCATGCACATGTAGAGTCCACCAACATAGATACATGATGCCTTACATATGTATCTGTTATATATATGTTTGAATTCCTCAAGAAAAAGAGAAGATTTAAAAGTGAATAGAGTGATACAATTTGTATTTATGATACAGGTTGCTTTACATTTTTTTTTTTGGCAACCAATATAAATATATTATTACCATTAATAAAAGCCACTTACAAACTAAGAACATTCAAACCTCATTAGCTCTAAAGGTATAGTGAGGAATGGTGTTCAGCAACACCAACATCTGATTACATAATTTCTACCAAAAACTCCTACATCTATGTGCTCTTTTTGTATTCTTGTACATTTCTATCCTCTCTACAATTTCTTTAGTTATTTTCCCCATTGTGTCTGTGTGAAGTTGTAACATCCGGCAATTTTGGAATAGCTATGAAGAGGCTTAGAATTGGAAATTTTCATTTTTGGAAAGAATTTTAAAATCTGGAAATTTGGCTAAGTATGGGAAAAAAGTGAGTTTTTGGCCAACTTTGAGCAGTCATAACTTCTAGCTCAGGATGATTTAGGTGTAGTTCCAGTTATGGTTGTAAAGTTCGTGGAATGATCTTTCCATCGCCACCAAGTTTGCTCGATTCCGAGTTCGTATGAGTGAGTTATGCCCTTTGGAAGTTGGGCAGTTGGCAGGGAAATCCGTCCGGAAATTGTAAGGGTATTTTGGTCTTTTCCCTAACCAATTCTTTTGGTTATATTAGTGTGTTAGACTGATTTTTTGATCAGTTCTTCCTTATTTTAAAGAGTGAGAGTGAGGGTTTGAGAGTGAAGAGGAGAAGAAGAGGAGAAGGAGAAGATCAAGCAAGGTTTCGTTAAAGAGATCATCGTGGATATCGTCGGGGATGATCCCTACTAGGTATGTGAGTCCATAGTGTTGGGTTGGTTATTTCCCCCACACGCCAAGCTTGTTTTATTTTCAAGAAAAGATTGGTTGTGTTGTTGAAGTTGTTGGTTGTGTTGTTGATGTTGTTGGAGTTCCTTGTTGATTTGGGGCATGATTTGGTTGTGTTTTTGAGTTGAATCTCTTGTATGTTGAGGGATTTTATGATCCTTAGTGGTTGGGGTTGAAACCTTTGAAGTTAGGATGGTTTAGAGTTGTAAAAAGAGGGAGAAAAGTCGGATTTTCTGGGGAAGGGGCTCTGAACTTTCCCCCTTGGGGCGGCGTGCCTAGCAGGCCCCTTCTGAGCTTCGAGGGCTGGCGCTCCGCGCCTTGCAGGGCGCCAAGGAGGCCAAGTTTCCCCTTTCTTTTCATGCTTTCTCATGCATGTTCCTTGGTAATGTACCTATGTTTCCTAGTTGTTTCCAACACTCCAAGGTACGTTTAAACGTCGAGAACTCATCCATAAACGTGTGATCCTATGCCTTGAATCCATAATCTAATTCAAGGCGAGTTAGTATCAAGTCAAAGAAAAGTTAGAGTCAAGTCGAGCAAAGTTAAGAAGTAAGTCCAAGTGAGTCTTTAAAGCTTTTCAAGAGTCTTTATTGAACGTTTTAACTTCGTTGTAAGGCTCAAGTTTCAAGTTAAGTAAAGAGTATTGAGTTTCAAGTTAAGTAAAGAGTATTGAGTTTCTAGTTAAGTCAAGAGTTTGAAGTTGAGTTCATTTCTCAAAAGTTATTAGGGAACTATGTATTCCCAAAGAAGTTTCTAAATGTTTTTGCATTTAAGTAAGAAAGGAGCTATGTTTTTCAAGAGAGCCTTTGGGCTAGTTTTCAAGAAAAAGGAACATCGATTCCAAGTGAGCCTTTGGGCTAGATTTTGAGTAATTATCTCAAACTAAAGAAAGTTGTGTTTAAAACACTTATGAGCTAAAGTAATTTTGGGAGTAGTATTGAGCACCGAATTAGGGACGCGAGTTCATATTAACTCAACTCTCCATAAGAACCATGTAGCCAACATGGGACTTGACAGGTCATTCTTTTAGATGATCACATAGGATTAAGCTAGTGGATCCACTAAGTTAAGTAAGGTCCTATATCACGGCAAGGTATAGGATGGTCCTTGGGCAACGTGAGGTAAAACATTGTATCATCACTAGGGCTCATAATGGTGGTTGTCGGTTAAAGAATCTCCCACTAAAGTTATATTACTTTTATATAAGTAAAGTTGAGTTTGTTATTCCTTTAATCATTAACGAACTAAGTTGTTTAAATTGTTTTAAAAGCTTTATATATATTGCATGTGTCTTATTGCTTTATATATTGAGTTCAGTTATTCATGAGTCGTACAGAGCCAAGGTAAGTGTTCTCTTGTACTCCTTTCAAGCTTAAGTTGTGGTTTAGCTATCCATCTTGCATACTCGTACATTCCATGTACTGATGCCAGTTGGCCTGCATGTGCACTCTAGAGACAGTGGTGATCCTCTTTGCATTTCGGAGGACTCGGTTATTTTGTTCTCTTAGTTTTGTTTTATTAGGATGTTGCGGGGTCTGTCCCAACATCCATCTCAGTATATTAGAGGCTTCAATAGACAGTTAG